TCCAGTTTCTGAAATGAAGATAAAGCAAAACTGAAAATCCTCTGGAGCGGTGCTGCCAACTCCTGGTTTTTCCATTCGCTTCCTCTGATAGCCATTGGTTTGGGGAGACTTCCCTTTCCTGCCCCAAGCTGTGGGCCTGTGCACAATAGCCTCTGGCCCATTGCCCATCAGATAATAAGGCTGGCTCTCTGCAGGCAGCAATGTGTATTGGAAAAAGTGAAAGTCTCTGGCTGGAAATAAAAGCTCAGAAAACCTTTGCTGTTCTCTCCCCATGCCCCTCCCCCACCCTCCTGGGTCTGTGATCCTAGCCTCCTTCCTGGCCTCCTGAGCTTGTCCAGTTCCACCTGCAGAGGCAGAGGAGAGTTCAGTGGCAGCTGATGCGCCAGATCATGGGTGTCGGGCGGCGGGGGCGGCGGCTGGGGGCGTGACCCTGAGTACTCTGCCCAGCAAGATCTTCCCCAGCATCAACTCCGTGTCACAGACTGGGATTTCATCAATAGGTAGTGTTTTTCATTTTTTCATTCTTTCATCATTTCCTTAAAAGAAACACTTTTTTGTTTGTTTTAGGGAAGGTGTATAATACCTTTTCACTCCCAGTGTACTAGTCAGGGTTCAGTTTTACAGAACAGAATCTATTCTGACTAGTTTCAGAAAAAGAGTTTTGGTGCACATTCTGGTTCCTAGAATTATTGGAGAGTAAAACTACAGATTAAAGTGCAGCATGGGGCTCCTCCCTCCCCCATTTTCAGGAAGCCACCAGATCCAGAGGCACAGAGCCGCTCTCCTTTATTCCACACCACTGACAAGGGAGTCGCTGCACCTGTCTCTGGACAGCAGGCAAACTGGAGACCAGATAAATGAAAAACCGACACTTCTGTAGACTATGCCCAAAGACAGGATGTCAGGGGCTATCCCAATCCCACTCAAGTGCATCTAAGTGGTTGAGCCTAAAGGGGGTCTTAGAACAATGGCTTCTAGCTGGTTAACTTCTGACGGCCCAGTTGGCATATAGAGGTGGAATGGATCTTCAGTCTCAGCTGTTCTGCCTGCCACATAGAGGGAAGGAACAAGTGGGGTTCTGCCGAGTTCCTACCATGTAGGTGTGCGCTTGTGCCACCACGCTTATAACTTCCAAGAAAGGTTACAAAGTAGGTATTTCTCCCCATTTTTGCAGATGAAGAAGTAGAGGTGAGAGTTAAAATCTGTCTAGAGAAGGGCCCTCCCTAGTGGCGCAATGGGTTAGGATGCAGCACTGCAAGCTAGCCACAGCCACTTCAGTTCAATCCCTGGCACCGGAGATGCCCATATGGCGCGGCAGACCTCTCCTGACCTGCCTGCTGCTCCCCTCAGCAGTGTGCTTCGTCCATCTGCCTGTTCTGCTCCCCACTCTGTCTGGAGAGTAAAGCCTTACTTGAACTCCTGTCCATCTAATGTCAAAGCTTAGGCTTTTCTTACTATACCTTGTTCATCTTACTAAGTTACTTCTGCTGCTTAGCACAGACTGCCAACGTACGGATTGAATTTACACAGAACATGTGGGCTACCAATGTTACCCACAATCAGAAGTAGGAAGCAGGCACTAGATGACTGTTTGTTAGCCAAGTGTTAAATAGTGTTCATGTTGAGACATGGTAGGACTTAAGGAAGCCACCCTTTTTTCATAGTTGCATTGAAAAAATTTAAACTACTGTATCAAGGGAAATGGCCACGTACATGGGCCTTTGATGTGTGGGCTGTTGGAAAGTGGGGTAGCTTTCTTATTCTTGATTCAGATGCCCCCTATTCCAACCTTGTCATTGCCGCTGAGCCCATGGCATCTTGCATTGGTGGCCTCCGATTCACAAGTGATCCTGGACAGGAAACTGGATTCAGACTGCATAAAGCAGGGCACTGCTGTTGTTTTCCCTGTGCTGTCAAGAAATCCCCATATTAGCCACCCTCCTGCTTCTGGCAGAAAGGCTGTCCTATTTCCCCATGGGTGGGGTTCCCTATCTACTGTTCATTTTTTTAAGATTTATTTTTATTTATGCATATAAGAACTGGGGCACAGGCCAGAGATGGGGGGTTGAGAGGATTCACCAGAGACAGAGTGGGGAGCAGAACAGGCTGACTGACTGAAATATACAGCTGAGGGGAACGAGCAAGACAGGTGTGCTCTGCTGTGCCATGTGGGTCAGCTCCCTAGCCTGGGACTGCACTCCTGCTACAGTGACTGGTGAGAGCTTGATAAGGCTGAGACAAACCCCTGCACCACCAGGGAGGCTCCCCCAGTGATCCCCTCAGATCACTCTTGAGGCACGCATGGCCTCACCAGCTCAGGGAGAAGTCTTGCCTTCTGCCATTTTATTGAACAGCGTGCCCTTTTTGGAAATAAATAGCAATCTCATAATTGCCTTCGTTCAGCTGCACTGAAGATAGTTACAGGCAAGTTTCCTAGCGACAGCCCCACCATTCAGTCACTGTGACTCTGGGTCTCAGCTTTCCCTTCAAACAATGTGGGTGATGAGAGGATAAACACTCACAGGGTGTTGTGAGGATAAAGCAAGCAGTGATAGTTTATTGAAAAGAGAACAAAAAAAAATTTGCCATGGTTGACTTTATTGCTCTGTTAGTTCATGGCACAATATCCCTAAATTTACCCTGAGAGTAGTGTCACTTTTTGCCAGTGCCCAGAGAACTTGGGCAAACACTCTTTCCTTTATTGGCTGTTTGAGATCATTTGAAAGGCATAACTCAAGTACTCCTTTATCTCAGAAGGCCTAGCCTCTACTCTATGAGTGAAGATTACACACAAGAGGCCAGCAAAATTCTGTGCCTCTTTTCAGGGCAGTTTTGATTCTGGTGTCTGCTATGGGGTCTGGTAGGGAAGCCAGTTTACTGAGCGCCCCATGTGAGCCTTCCTGCCTCAGGTCCCTAATTGTCAGTGGTTCTAGATGCTGGGTTGACGCTCCAAGAAATTGAAAGTGTTCTCAGGGCAGATTCAGTCAAGTGTCTTCCATCCGGCCAGATGAGTCATATGCTCTAAACAACTTGCTTCATGTGGGACAAGGAAGGTGTCAGTTTCTTGAAAGACATTAAAATAAAAACTTAAATTCTCTAGCGATTATCTTTTAAAGAGCAACCCTCCCCGTCATTCTGTGACTATAAGTATTTTTCTTCCTTTTTAATGTTCCTGGAAGGAATCTTAGCACTTTGTTAGGCCTGCCCTCTGTCCAGGGCGTAGAGACCACAGAGACTGGTCTTGCACTGGTTTCCTACCTTTGGTATGCAGCCTCACTTCCAGAATGCAGAGCATAAGCTGAGTGCTCCCAGGCTCCTCATGAGCTGTTGAACCATTGCAAAGCTATGTAGGTGTGTATAGTTAAAAGCATGCAGCAACGGTATATATACCCTGATTTTCCTTCTGAAACCAGCCTAGACTAGGGTTACATCAAGAAAGGTAGGAGTTGGCAGTTCCTGTCTATCAGGGTAGATCAAGACAGGTTTTCCCCCACATTTCCAGCCACCAAACTTGCTCTGTCTTTCTTCCTTAGCCATTCCCACAGAGCATCTTGCTTGCAATTCCATTTCAGGAAACTTGGTGCCATGTTCCTGAACGCGACTAGAAAAACCAACCTGCAAGGTTGTTGTTGTTGGTGGTGGTGGTGAGGGAGTAGAGTTAGATAGCATGTGCGTCTCAGGTTTCTGGGAGAAATGTTTTCTCTCCAGAACAGGAAAAGGGCTTGGGTTGAGAGCCCTTTATTTAAGTTTGAAAATACCAAAAGCATTTGTGTGCAGGTATTGTTAAAGCTTTGTTAAACCTTTTGAATATTTGTCCATTGGGCATAGCAAGGGAAAAAGATGCAAACTTCCAGCCTCACCCTTGTCTTCTTTGCTGGTCATGGAAAGCATTCGAGTTGATCAGGAAAAGCTCTAAGCTAAGAGCAGGGAGACCTTTCTCCTAGACTCAGAATAGGTGATAGAAAAGCATCCCCTAGTGACTTAAAAAATATCTCTGCACATTGGATGTCATTTAGGAAAGTTAAGGTAATCACTGTTCCCTCTTACAAACTGGTATATAGTGAAAGTACGTACAAATTGACTTTATATTCTTTACTTGTAAAATAATGATAATTCCTGCCTGTGTTATATTTTTTTTGAGAAATGTAAAGCACTTTGAGTCTCTTATTTCCTTTCCGGTTAAATGAAGCAAATAGTTATCTCAGGATTGCTAAAAAGATTAAATGAAATAACTAGTGTAAAAATACCTTACAGAATGCTTGTCACTCAGCAGGACTCAGGAAATACTTGCCAGGCCTCTATTGCAATATTGAATGTCTTAACAAAGAGTAAAGCACTATGTAAATGCAAGGTATTAATACTCTTAGCAAGGAAAGATACGAGTGGTTAGGGATGGAGCAATTACAGTCTTGTTTGTGTCCTCCCATGGGAGGACCTTGTTACTGTTATGGACAGATGGAGAACAGATGAAGGCACTGACTGGAGGCATGGGCAGGGAGAGAGATAGAAAAGATGCTCAGGAGTAGGGCACTGACTTTTCCCTGGACCTCAGTCTCCAGGTGCTGCTTGACCCAAAGCTCAAGGAACTAGTTGATGGATGAATGCTTTTCCTAGTACTTCGTAGGCTGGAGGAGAGGTGAGAAATGGAACTCTAGAGGTAGAATTAGAGAGCAGTGACATTGTTAAGGAAGAATGACATTCGAGGATTAATAAAATGTGTATCTGCTTACCTGTCTAAATTGGTTTAGTTGGGTTTCTTCTGGGTCATATTTTGTACCAAGGTTCTTGGCCATATATGTACTAGTGCCTGCTCCATCTCTGCAGTAATTAGGCCCCTGTTAGGAAGGGATTTTGTTGGCCTTAAAGAATGTGGAATTTGCTAAATTTTGGTGGTCAAAGTCACCTCCCTGACTGCTTGGCCTGGTATCTCTGAGCTGGTCCCATGTCCCCTTTTGATTGTCCTGGGTCCTGTGATCAAAGGTCCTGTTTCTCTTTTCCAGGCTCCCAGAACCCTGGTCGAAGCTCACCTCCCCCTGGCTATGTACCTGAGCGACAGCAGCGAATTGCCCGACAAGGATCCTATACCAGCATCAACAGTGAGGGGGAGTTCATTCCAGAGACCAGCGAGCAGTGCGTAAGTCTGGGGACTGGACTGTGCCTTAGGATATGTTAAACGAAGAACATAATGGGGGTTTCTTAGTGGACATGATGCAAAGTAGAGACACTTACACACACCACCTAGCAGCTCTTTTGGAAACCTGTCCTATACATATATTCCTTTCTAGGGGCCAGAAATCACTTCCTCCCAGAGAGACACTGTGAAGTCCCCAGCCTCGGTAGTGCTGGATGAGCATTTGACAAATTTGTCCTTTTTCATGATCATCTCATTGGTTTGTTGCAGAGTACTGGTCTGTTGACAATCTCCTTCCTTAAACCTGCCTGTCATTTCAGTAGATATTTAACATAAGACTAATCCTAAACTGAAAATTTTGGGGTTTTATTGGCAATATTTTAGTTCTCTTTCTTGGTGAAATGTAGGGAGTAAACCATATCCATATTACTCTGTGGGGTTCACTTTATGATGGTGAATAGCAATATTATCTATTGCTACATAAAAATTATCACAAATTTAGCAGCTTAAAACAACACACCTTTGTTATTTTACAGTTTCCCTGGGTCAAGAATCCAGGTATGACTTACCTGGTCCTCCACGCAGGTTCTCATGAGGTTGCATCTGACACCCTCCCCTTGGGCTCAGCCAGGCTGTATTCCTTTCCTTTCCAAGCTCACATGGTTGTGAACAGAATTCAGTTCCTTGTGGCTATCATCCAGGGGTCACTCCAAGCTCCTAGAAGCCCCCTGTGGCTCCTTGCCAGGTGATGATCTCATAATAGAGCAACTTCTTCAAAACCAGCAGGGGAATCTTGCTCCATTCTGTAAAGGTAGAGTCTTAGGTAACGCAGCGTGGTCATGGCAGGAAATACCCCATCCCTTGCCATTGTCCACTGACCTAAGGGTGCGTCCACCCTTATTATGGCTCACCCATTTAAGTGGCTAGCTTTTTAACAGTGGCTCACTTGTGAAGATGGCATTTTGGCGTAGTGACCCCACCTACAGTGGAACCTCTGTCTTCATTTTGAAGACTTTCAGAAAGCTTGCTTTGATTGCAAACTTGCTTTTATAAATTCTGAGGATTTGGTTTGGGAAAAGGAAATTTCTTAAGGATAAAATCACCATTAAAAGAATCAAAGAATCAAAATCATCTCATGAGAGTTGTTTTTTTTTTTTTTTTTAAGAAGATTTTGTTTATTCATACAGAACTAGGGAGACAGGAGAGGTCTGCTGTGCCATAGGCTAGGAGAAGCCCTCGGCACTGCTGCTTTCTGTACTATCCTGCCTTGAGGACAAATCCGTGTTTGGAATTGTGACCAGCAGTGTTTTACTTGCAGATTCCTTTACTGTGCATTTACTGACAATCCTTTCCGTTTTCCCTAGCCAGGGCATTTCTGGACATGAGCAACCAGGGACAGCTTGAATGTAAATGAGTTTGGTTGCCTTTGGTATCTTTCCCTCCCCATAGTCCTACACCTTGATGTTTTAACTTTTCACTTTACATGTCTAGCTCCAGAAGTCATAAGGGTATTTGACTCCTAGTGAGGGCAGATTTTTAGAAAGAGGCCAAGGAAGGCTGCCCCTGGAAATGCCTACTGAGTCTTTCTGCGGGATCCACAGTTGCAGTGCATTCACTATCTTGAATGAACCGGTCATTCAAGATAAAATCCACTTAACAGAGCCCAAAATAGCCTGGTATATAGTGAAAGAATATCCAGTGAGGTCTTTCTTGAAAGATGAAGCTATGGTAAATTTGCTTTGTGTTTTTCTTTAATCAGATTTAGGTAATAGTAGCATTTGTTTGCTATTTTTTATAATTACAAAAAACATGTTTCATGTTAATCTTCTGATTTAATTTTTATAGTACAGTGTAACTTCCTTCATGTCTCCTTTGACTTATGCACCTGTCATAAAGAGTCCTTTTTTTAAATAAAAGTCTTCACAGAAGTCAGTCAAAGGCCACTCTCTCTGGTATTCTTCCTCCGTCATCACATCTGCCCTGTGGTTACACATGTCATTCTCTCTTCTGTTGACAGAGCTACCTTGCCAAATGCGTTTGGTAGCTCTTCTTTCCATCTTGGTTTCACCCACTTTGGAATATCTGTATCCTTAGCAATATTTGCATTTTTACTCTATAATTAATTTACTGTGATTGATAGGCTTTGAAAAATCATGTGACTGAAACATTTGAAGCTATTGGTCAGATGGACTCTTGTATTAAATGAGAAGAGAACTGGTTGGGGACTAATTTTATGAAAATTGCCAGTAAATTTTCATAATTCAGATACTTTCCTTCCCTACATAATAATTAACTTTGTATCTCAGATAATGAATACTCTGTCAGTAAATGACCCCACCCCAGGGAAAATGAAGGAAAGATTAATTGGAAAAAAAGGCTATTTTGAAGGCTTTTGTTATTCTATTTGGCCAAGAGCTAGAGGAACATTTAAATTTATATAGATACTTACACCTCTGCATGAGCACCAGGAACTGAGAACTTTTTGTTTTGTAACAGCTGTATGCTACCTAGTTTTGTTTTGTTTTGTTTTGTTTTGTTTTTTAATTAATGCCCTGGGATGTTTCTAAATGACTTTTTTTTTTTTTAAAGATTTATTTATTTATTCATACAGAACTGGGGGACAGGCCAGAGGCTCAGGGGCGGTGAGAGGCTTCACCAAAGACAGAGTGGGGAGCAGAAGAGGCAGATCGACGAAGTACACTGCTGAGGGGAGCAGCGGGCGGGTCAGGAGAGGTCTGCTGAGCCATGTGGTCAACTCCGGGGCAGGCGGGAATCGAACTCATGCGGAAGTGGCTTCAGCTTCTTAGTGCTGTGCTTTAACCCGCTGCGCCACCAGGGAGGGCCCGCTACCTAGTTTTTTAACTTGAAGCAGTTCTCCTAGCTCTCTAGACCTGTGGTAACTCATCTGTGAACCAAAGGCAATCTTGTCTTTCTGCATTATACATTATAAACAGAAGCATCACAGTCCCTCCCAAAAGCACTGAAGTGTAGTACTATCTCTAGCTATAGGCACCAATGTTACAAGCCAAGAAAATGCCAGCAAAAGAAGCAGCATCTCTGCATCACTGTCTTGGCAGAGTTCCTTGGGATGCCAGCCATGCATTTTCCTCACTCCTCGAAACTTGCCTTTCCAACTGCGGGGGAGAACGGCACCTTTCTAGCCACTCTCCCCGCTGCATGAGGAGGGCAAGGGCATTTTCATACTTTGACAGGGTGGGTCGTTTGCTGGCCTGTGTTACCTGGCTGGGCCTTAGGTAGGGGCAGAGGGTTATTGTATGACTTGTCTTGCAGATGCTGGATCCTCTGAGCAGTGCTGAGAATTCCTTGTCTGGAAGCTGCCAATCCTTGGACAGGTCAGCAGACAGGTATGGGACTATGGCTGGTTGGGGGTTAATGCATAAGCATCCGGAGAACTGTTAGACTAAGGCAGTAGAGTTAGCTAGTTTCTGTAGCTCCACTCTAGAGCAGGTTTGCAGGCCCAGGGTTAAAACACTATGCCTTTGGGAAAGAAACCTTTGACTGGGATTCTCCGCCATCTCCTTAATTTTCCAAACACCAGAAGAATGTCGTGATTGTTATTTGTTAATTCAGTAAGTGTAATAATAGAACCCACAAGAGCAGCTCATATTTATTAAATGCTTGCTATATTGTTCCAATCTGCACATGATGTACACTGCTCTTATACTCTTGGCTTCATTGCTGTGATCTCAGACTGAGAAGCAGGGGACCTTCAGTGTTTTGGGGGAAAACCTGTGAATTTGCTTGCTTTTTTTTTTTGGTCCCCTACTAGTGTTCCCTATGGAATTAAAAACTGATGTAAAAGCCAAAAAGCAAAATACCCAGACTGCTTCCCACACTGCCTGCTTGGCATGAATTCTTGTTCTCACACTTTTGAGAGGGAACAAGTGTTGTCATTTACGTACCAAATGGTTCTACAGAGTTGGTTCTCCCATCACAGGCCATGATGGGAATTGGCTTTGGCACCCATCCCGCCGCTCTCACCTTGACCTAGTTATGCCTGAGACCACATTTGATCATAGTTTAGGGCTGTGGTCAGAGGCTATGGAGCCAGGTCTGCGCACTGCTGAGGGCTGTCTTCATTCCACATGCTGCTGGTTGGTATCTTCTTCCTAGCCTTGTCTTGGGCTTGCTCTCTAGCCAGGGGAGAGAGGGCATAGGCGGAAGTGCCAGGAGCCCTGACCTGTTGCTCGGCTAGGACAGGGGCTGCCTCTGGCTTTGCTCGCTTAGGTTTTGTGGCTTCTCGAGAAGAGCTGAGCATTTCTGACTTGTGGCCTCTCAAAAGGCACAGACCGGTCAGGGGAATACTGGGGAAAGCAGCTACATTTATTTACTGAGTCCTGGGTTTTTCTTCTGACCCTCTGACTCTTTGTTTTTCCCCACTCTGGAATGAGACCCAGTGACCTGGACTTGTACTTCTTGGCCTAACTTGAGCTTAAGACTTTCATCTTCCCCCCACGGGGTCTAAAACCAGATGAACCAAGATCCACATCTGCCTCTACCGAATAATAGTTGTGTGTCTTCTGATATCCTTTAGCCTTCTGTTCCTCAGATTCCTCATCTCTACAATGGGATGGTGGTGATTAGTCTGAAAGGAAGCTGCTTGACTTAGTAGCAAGAACAGACTTTGGGGCCACATGTGGATTTGCAATCTGGTTCTATTGTTTATTAGTTCTATACCCTGGGACAAATCAAATAAGGATCTTAATACCTAACCTGTTGGGTGTCTCTGATGAATAGAAAGAAATAGCTGTTCAATAATTGGTACCTGCTATTATAGTGTTTTATTTTTGTTACCTCACAAGGTTGTAAAGATGAAATGAGGAAAGACTCACTTTGTAAAATAAATAAGAGCACAGCAACCTGCGAACTGGTGTTCTTGCTGGCTTTATTAGTACCCTGGGCAAGGGCCTTTTTTTGCATAGGGCTTTTTAAGCCCTATGAGCAAGGGGGAGGGAGCGCTAAGAAGCACACCCAGGAAGGAGTGCCATGGGGCTGGAGGTTCCTGCTTCAGGACTTGTCCGACTGCAAAGACAGTGAGATTGAGCCCAGAAAAAGGCTGCTCAGTCTGCTTCGGCCCATGGACTGACCCAGGAAGGAGCTAGACATGGAGTCCCTCTGGGGGTCCTGCCTTCTGCCCTTGTGGGCTTGGGTGTGGCTGAAGTCCACTTTGTGATTTTATATTGCTTTGTTTTTTTCAGCCCATCCTTGCGGAAATCTCGAATGTCCCGAGCCCAGAGCTTCCCAGACAACAGACAAGAGTTCTCAGGTGAGTTCCCTAGACTGCAGGGTGCTGGGAGGGGCTGAAGGCATTCTGCTTTAGCCAGAACTGGGGGTTGTGGGCTGTATTTTAAGTTTTCTGGAGTGGGCTGCTCTGAGGTCTCAGGTGACTGACAGGTTTAAATGGCTCACACATCGACTTGCCCAGAAGCCAGTGATTACCCTGTCTTACTCAGATCGGGAAACTCAGCTCTGTGACAAAGGGGTCAAAGGTGGAACCTACCCCCGGCGCTACCATGTGTCTGTGCACCACAAGGACTACAACGACGGTGAGTGGGCCCCCAGCCTGCCCGCTGGCAGCTTCAGAGGGCATGGTCAGAGCTTCTCCAGAGAACAGCCACTGCCACTTGGGGGCTCCCCTCTCTACCCGACTTCCGAACATGCTGCAGACCCTGTGTTCCCTTTATTCCAGAGGAATTATACCCAGACTTTCAGCACTAGAGACGGTGGGGAGGGGATGGTGATATTTGTAGACCAAGGTGTCACTGGGAGCTCTGTCCCTTGAGATTGCAAAATGCTCCAGGGCCTGGGGACTCTCCAGTACCCTTTTCTGCCTCAGAGCAGAGCTTCCTCAGAGCCTTGCGACTGAGGTGCCAGAGAAAACAGAGATCCCTGTGGGCTTCCCTTGTGAGTGATGTGGGGCCTCAAGGCCAGGTCTGTGTCTCCCCTTTGGCCAAGGTTCCCTGAACCATCTGGGGCTGCTTCCTAATTCCGCTTTTGTCCTGATTCTCAGAGTGTTTGGGATGGTAGCCCTTCTGGCATGAGTCAGATGAGAAGCAGATAGCATGGAACCAAGTTGGTGTTGTGACCTGGTTTGCAATTTCAGCCTTGGGGCTAAGGATCTCACTTGTTCTACTCTGGTTCTGACACCCCTTAGGTAGAAGAACATTTCCCCGAATTCGCCGCCATCAAGGCAACCTGTTCACCCTGGTGCCCTCCAGCCGCTCCTTGAGCACAAATGGCGAGAACATGGGTCTGGCCGTGCAATACTTGGACCCGCGAGGGCGCCTGCGCAGCGCTGACAGCGAGAACACCCTATCTGTGCAGGAGAGGAATGTGCCAACCAAGTGTGAGCAGTGGGCCCTGGCCAGGCTGCACCAGGGATGCCCGGGCACGAGGCAGTGGGCCCAGGGGTGGGCAGCAGACCCCTGCACCTTGTGCCTCCCTTCACTGTTGTGTCGCAAGCTGTGTGCCCTGTCTGGTCTTTAGTTTTTCCATATTTAAACTGAGGAGCAGTTTCTTTCATCTCTGTCATAATAAGATATTGAGCTTTGGAAGCAAAGTTTGATCAATTTCTTCTGCATTTTGGTCAGTGCTGAAGAGTATGACATTAGCCAGTCTGCTGCTTCTCAGGGCATGGATCTGAAAGTCTGACTGACCAGGGTACTGGCCCTGTCCCAGGTGGGGGCAGAGCTGCTGTGCTGAGGAGCTCGAGTTGAGGTCCACCATAGAGCCTCTGGAGAGTGAGGCGAGGTCGTAATAAGTGATGTGCATGAGCTAATGATCTTCCTTCTGTGCCCTGTAGCTCCTAGTGCCCCCATCAACTGGCGCCGCGGGAAGCTCTTAGGCCAGGGTGCCTTCGGCAGGGTCTATTTGTGCTATGATGTGGACACAGGACGAGAACTCGCTTCCAAGCAGGTCCAGTTTGACCCAGACAGTCCTGAGACGAGCAAGGTACTGCCTTCCCTGTGGTCTTTCAGTTCCTCCTCAACAAACATGCCAGTCTTGTTGCATAGACTGATTGTTTCAGACGTGAAAGGTTGCTTGCCCTTCATCCTTCCCTCAAGCTTCCTTGCTGTCCACCCTGCCCTGGTGCTAGAGTGAAGGGATTATGCTCCCAAGAGCACCAGACACCTGGGAGGGGCTGGGGTGAGGAGCTGAGTTATGTCAGAGAATAGTAGCTGCTGAGGGTTATGAGTGGTGCCAGAGAGCAGACCTGCCCCCTCAGCCTGTATGAGCCCTCAGCCCAGGTCTCTGGAGTTCAGCTTTAGGTGTGGCCTACAGTCACACTGGAGTGAGCAAATACAATAGTTATTTTACCTAAGACCTACAACCACTCTCCCACCCACTGCCTACCTTAGGAAGTGCCACCATCCCAAGAGCTGCCCTGCATGTGCCCATGGGCAGACAGTTGAGAGCCCCCCTTCTCTCCTGCTGACATTCACAAGGCAGGCAGACCCCTGTGAGGCCACTGATTGGGGCAGGCTAAGCTGAATCCAGTTGTCAAGGACTGCGGTGACCTCTGGGCCCCTCTCTCAGGAGGTGAGTGCTCTGGAATGCGAGATCCAGCTGCTGAAGAACTTGCAGCACGAGCGCATTGTGCAGTACTATGGCTGCCTGCGGGACCGGGCCGAGAAGACACTGACCATCTTCATGGAGTACATGCCAGGGGTATGTGCCTTAGTGTGCGAGACACACTTAGGTCCAGTCACCTAAGGCTCAGGGGCTCAGGAGAAGGTGAGGCAACAGCCAGACCTTGAGTAAGGAGGGCCACACTGCTTTAGTGGAGGGAGAAATGTCCCTGGCTGCCCCTGCTTGCAGTGTGGGGGGCCACACTGCCTGGTGAGGACCGCCTGCCCCCACAGGGGCGCGCCTGCCTCCTGCTGTGTGAGGCAGGATAGTCTCCTGCTTGTCTCTGAGCTGCCTAGCAGCTGCTAGCAAAGTGCCTGGCACATCAAAAAAAGGGTTTGGAGGGGTCACTCCTTTACTGCCATGGTTGGCCTGCAGTAGTCTCTCCTTCCTGAGGGGACTCCCTCTGATTCCTGTGGCTCTAGGGCTCAGTGAAAGATCAGCTGAAGGCCTACGGAGCACTGACAGAGAGTGTGACCCGAAAATACACCCGGCAGATCCTAGAGGGCATGTCCTACCTGCACAGCAACATGATTGTTCACCGGGACATCAAGGGTGAGCAGAGGCAGGTGTGGGGTTCCTAAGAACCTGGTCACTTCACCAGCTTGAACTCTGAAAAGTGGTTACGGGAATTGCTTCCTCGGGAGATGGGTGTGAGCCTCGCTGAGCAGCTTGGGAAAGTGCTGTGAAGTGCTCTGCAGTTGGCAGCCACCGTGCTGGTCCGCTCTGCAGGCTGAGGCGCCTTCCTGCTGGCTCGTCCCAGGCCACGTGTAATCACCTGGCCCTGCGGCCAGGGAGGCAGGGAAAGAGGGAGGATGGTGGAAGCTGCCCACACAGCCCGGGGTCGCAGCCTCCCCCTCTTGCCATAGGAGCCAACATCCTGCGAGACTCTGCTGGGAATGTGAAGCTGGGGGACTTTGGGGCCAGCAAGCGCCTGCAGACCATCTGCATGTCAGGCACAGGTATGCGCTCGGTCACCGGCACGCCCTACTGGATGAGCCCCGAGGTCATCAGCGGCGAAGGCTATGGAAGGAAGGCAGATGTGTGGTGAGCACTGGGCCCTTTCCCTGCTGCGCTGGAGCTTAGAAATGAGCTTTGGGGGCTTTGCAGGATGGCGAGGGAGGGAGACCCGCCTCTCGCCCGCCAGGGCAGGAGCAGGCCAGCGTGCCTTGCCCTGAGTTGCCGGGGTGCAGGGCCTGCAAGCGACACTGAGGCCATGTGCACCGTGTGTGCTTTACTGGCTGTTTCTCTTTTTTCTTTACTATTTTAATTAACAACTTTTTCTTACGTCCTTGTAATCTTTATAGTTCTCTGCCACCATATGCCAGTGCACCATCACCATATTCCCTGGGCTCATCCCTCCCCTGGCTCACCTCCCTCCCCTCCCCCTCCCTTGCTCATGCCTCCGTTCTTTGGTCAACTTGCTAGTTTTGACTTTTCCTTGACCTTTTGTTTGGTTTCTCCACACTCCATGTGAGTGAGACCATCCAGTGTGTATCTTTTTCCTTCTGACCAATCCCAGCAGGCCTGATCCCTTCCAGCTCCATCCATGTTGCTGGGAATGGCATGAGTTTGCCTTATGATCGCCGAGTAATATTCCATTGTATAAATGCACCACAACTTTGTGATCCAGTCCTCTCTTTTGGGGCATTTGGGTTGTTTCCACATATTGGCTATTGTAAATAGTGATGCAGTAGACATAGGGGTGCGGTGTCCTTTTGGATTGGTGCTTCTGTGTCCTTTGGGGAGACTCCGAGGAATCTGGGTCATAGTTGTTGTGCGTCACCGCCGCAGCCGGCCACCGCGGGCCAGCCAGCCGGGAGAGAGGTGCCTGTGTCCCCACAGCGTCGCCGGCTTTGGTCGCTTATGGTGGTGATATGTGCCACTCTTACTGGGGTGAGGTGGACCTTATTGTGGTTTAGATTTGCATTTCCCTGATAATTCATGATATCGAACATTTTTTCATGTTTGTTGGTCATTCGATTTCTCCTTTGGAGATGTATCTTTTTAGTTCTTCTGCCCACTTACTGCTGGGTTGTTTGTTTTGCTGAGTTGTATAAGTTTATAGATCTTTGATATCAGTTCCTTATCTGTCATATGGTATGCAAATATTTTCTCCCATTCAGTCGAATGTCTCTTTGTAGCACAGGATGTCTCTTCTGTACAGAGCTTTTTCGTTTGATGTAGCCCTCGCTGTTTATCTTCTCCTTTGTTTTCCTTCCTTCTAGAAGAATCCTCAAAGTTGTTTCTGAGGTTTCTGTCATGAGTGTTTTGCCTATGTTTTCATCTATATATTTTATGGTATCAGGTCTTATATTCAAGTCTTTTACCCACTTTAAGTTGATTTTTGTGTATGGTGTGAGACAGTGGTCTAGTTTCATTTTTTGCATATTGCAGTCCAGTTTTCCTAACACCATTTATTTAAAAGACTTTCCTCATTCCAGGGTAATTCTTTGCTTCTTTTTCCTAAGTTATTTGAGCATTTCTATGCTTTCCATTAGATTTCATTGGTCTGTGTGTCTGTTTTTATTCCATTGTCATGCTGTTTTTATTATGATGGCTTTGTAGTATTGCTTGAAGTCTGGGAGTGTAAGAGCTCCATTCTTCCTCCTTTTAGTCAGGAGAGCTTTCACTGTTTGGGATTTTTATATGAGCTGTGTTGTAAGCCCAAGTAGCAGCAGCTATGGAAACCAGGCCATGGAAATTACCCCTGATGTTCATTAAGTCTGTGGCGGGGGGCCCTCATGGTGGCACAGTGGGTTAAACCACAGCACTATGAAGATGTCTACAGCCACTGCAGCATGTGTTTGAGCCCCGGCCAGGGATCTGACCCACATGGCGCAACAGACCTCTCCTGTCCCGCCCGCTGCTCCCCTTAGCGTTGTATTTCAGTAGATCCGCCTGTTTTGCTCCCCACTCTGTCTGGTGAATCCTCTTAGCCTCACAGTATCCCAGTTCTTGTATGCATAAATAAACAAATCTTAAAAAAAAAATCTTTAAAGGAGTAGGATCCACTCTGAAAACTTAGATCGGCCTCTAAAGTAGCAGGCCTCAACTCCCTCTTTGAGTGGTCAGATGGCGTCAATATACTCTATGTTGCATATCCATCCCCTGAAAGGGTGTGGATATTTCCCTTAGAGCATGATGGTAGGCTGAATGATGGTCTCCTGATGTCCCTGTACTAATCCCTTTAATTTGTAAATGATACCATATATGGGCAAGGGCTTTTGTAGATGTGAATAAATGTAGAATTTTGAGATGGGGAGATCATCCTGGATTATCAAGGCCTGATACAATCAAGGGTCCTTATAAAAGAGAGGGCGGATGGTGTAGATGTGCCAGTGGAATCCAGATGCTGTAGTGATGTGAGCAGGGGCCACTAGCCAAGGCATGCAGGTGGCCTCTAGAAGCTGGGAAAGGCAGGGAGACAGATTCTCCCCTCAGAGCATCCAGAAGGAGCCATCCTTGCTAACACTGTCTTGCCCAGTGAGAACTAATTTTAGGTTTCCTGACCTCTAAAACTATAAGATAACAAGTTGGTCTTGTTTTTATGCCACTAAATTTGTGGCAATTTGTTACAACAACAATGGAAATTAATACTAACATCTTGGGAGCGTTTCTGTCGGAGCTGGAAGTGTACCATGCCCAGAAGCATACCAGTGGATGCAGGTTGATGAGGCCCGCGCTGACAAGGCTGACAGTGCTTTGAAGCCTCTCCTGGCCTTGGGACTCTACAGAGGTGTCAGCCTCAGCTTGTCTCTGCTGCCTCCGGTGTAAGAAAGTCGCCGCCTTTGACCGCCATGGGCAGGGCAGCCAGGAGCAGGCTGTGCTGAGCAGTAACCCAGGGCTCTCTCTCCAGGAGTCTGGGCTGTACTGTGGTGGAGATGCTGACGGAAAAACCACCTTGGGCAGAGTATGAAGCCATGGCCGCCATTTTCAAGATTGCGACCCAGCCTACCAACCCTCAGCTGCCCTCCCACATCTCTGAGCATGGCCGGGACTTCCTGAGGCGCATCTTTGTGGAGGCCCGCCAGAGGCCGTCAGCTGAGGAGCTGCTCACACACCACTTTGCACAGCTCGTGTACTGAGCTCTCAAGGCCGCTCTGCTGCCGGCTGCCTGCCTCGTGGGCAAGGGGCTGCCGTGGGGCCCAGCAAAATTGCTGCTTCACCCACGCAAGGCTGTGGACCACATTGCTGCAGTCCAGCCAGCGTTGGCCTGTGCCCTGTCCACTGCTGGGGCTCAGAGCCAGGGTGGGGGCTGCAGCCTCCAGGACTGGGAGCCCCCAGCCTGCCAGACACAGGAGCCTCCAGTGTCCTAAGTGTCCTAAGCTCAGCATGGAGGGAAAGGGGCTGGACAGAATGTGAGGAGCCCTGGTCCACCCCAGCGGGGCTGTATCAGCAGAACCACCAAGGGTCTGAGTAGTGTTACTTTCATTCAGAGTGTTACTTTGTTCTTCCCATGTCTGGAGACCACCAGGGCATCTCTGAGCTGGATGAGCCCACCCAAGCCTGAGGTCAAACCCAGCATCGCAACCAATGGAAGGCAGAGGCCTGGGCTGTGGTCTTCCTGAAGCCCCCAGGTCAGCTTTGCCAGTCCCTTGACCTTTACCAAAGATGAATGAAGCAAATGTATGCTGCCTTATTTAGGGACGGAGAGCCTGTCCTGCCTGCCCTTGTGACCCTGCTCCCATGCAGGGCCTGAGATGTGGAGCTGCCCCCACTAAGGGGGAGACCAAGTTTTGTCAATGCAATTGTCTGTTTTACAAGTTGGAGTCACTCTTACGCTGTACCCAGTGTCTAAACTGGAGACCGGTGTGCCCTCTGGGCTCTGAGCTCCCTGCTGTCCGCTTGGGCCTTGGGCTGGATTGGGAAGAGCTGAAAGCTCACCTCTGCTTCTGGTGAGCGCCCATCCTCCCACAGGAGCAGAAAGGAAAATGGACAGCATGGTGAAGGCGCTGACCTGGCTGGCCACCCTGACAGGGCTGTTCAAGGGGGGCGCAGGGTATTGCATCAGGCCTTCTGATTGGTGGCCTGCTAGGCCCGAGCCCTCCCCACCGGTGAAAGGAGGGCCCATAGGACCACCAACTCTGTCCAGAGCTGCCAGCTGTTCCTCCTTGGCCAGCCTTGCCCATTCCCATGAGATCTCAGCCTCTTTCCCTTCTTGCTCCTCCCCTGGAGGAGAGACAGCATGGGGGGCAGGGAGCCAGGATCTCCAAGCAGCTTAGAGTTGGCCTTATTTACCTCAGCCTGGGCGCTGGTCCTTTCTTCCGGCCCCTCCCCTCCAAAATGTGCCTATTGCTAGAGCTCCTCCCTCTCAACACCCAGTTTCCTTGGGAGTTGTCATTAAAGGAAAAAAAAAAAAAAAGCCAGTGCCCAGGGATGGGCGTCTCCAGGGAGCTGGGGACCAGCCTTCTCCCAGGGCCACCAGAACAAGCCAAAGCCTTCGGTGTATGTTGATGCACTTTTATGAATGTAGTTTCTATCGCTGTTTTTAGCCTTTTCACATCATGTAATGTGAGGCCTTGTACTTGTTAATTTATATCTCAGATCATATTTGATGGTTTTTATATATATATCAATCTAGACTGTTACAGGTGATGGACGCCTCAAGAGAGAAGAGGAAATCAAAGCAGCTGGCTTTGTAGGAATGTGTATTGCACGGTGCCGGTCGGGCTTGGGCCCTGCTCCCACCTCCCCCAGGGGCCTCTGAGGACAGAGAGCCTGCACTTCTGCCTCCACCTTGGCCTTGCCCAGGGTGGGGATGGCCACTCATCTCAACCAAAGCTGAGGGTGCCAGCTCTGGCCTCTCCACAACCTCCCACCCCCAGTGCCCGGCCCTCTTCTTGGGCCCACACCTGCCCCCAGTCCCCACGTGGTGCCAGGGCTGACAAGACCAGACGACTCTGTGTCCCAGGTTCAGGCTCCCAGAGCCCTGCCCCGGGGTCTTACCTCACAGGGAATGTTTTTAACATGAATTTGCCAATTAAGTCAACAAACCCCTGCACTCCAAAAACAACAAAAGATCCTGATTTTTTTGTGCCAAAAACTGTGGACATGCTGGCTCAGCACCCTCAGGACCAAGTGTTGTTAATTTATTGTTTCTTTTTTGTTAAATAATCCAGATGAAAAGTTGCGGTCCCGGATGGCCTGGGCCCAGGGGTTCTTGCGAGCAGCCGCCTAGCAGCCCCGGGCTTGCTGTGCGCAGGGCTGTGCCGCGCCGTCTGTCCCTCCTGCCCCCCCACCCGCTCCCCCGCTCTGTGTCTGTCTGAATTGTGGATAGTGCAGGAGACCCTGCAGCCAGTTATTTGACTATATCTTGACTGAGGGCTTGCAGTGCAAAGCCAGGCCAGTGTCGCGCATTACTTACAATAAAAGGGAACATTTATACCCAAGGAGTCCGCAGCGGTGCTTGGGGCCGGGAGGGAGGGCTGGGGAGCGAGTGTGCCTGGGGGGCGAGGGCCTGGCATGGCTTGGCTGCTGCCTAGGCCCTCTGGGACCCCACTGAGGTTGCTTCCTTCAGGGTGCACTTACCAAGGTGGCCCCTTTGGCCCCCTAGCCTGAGAATCACCTGTGACTGGGTTCTTAGGGCTGGGTGCCCGTGGTCTGCTGGCAAGGCAGGTACCAGGCCCCAGGGGGCACCTTGGAGCACTGGCCTAGAGCCCTCTGCCCTGAGACCCAGCCGCCCCACCCCCCGCCCTCATGCCCTCTGCATACTTAGCGCTAGCTCTGCCACCCCAAGCACCTAGGCCTGTCTGGCACGGAGCCCAGGTGTAGCTGCCCACCCCGTTACAGGGGCACATACGCAGGAACTTCAGGAGTGTGGACCACGCAGTGAAGTTTCTGGGAGTCTGCAGGTTGCGCCACCAACTCGACACGGCCGTTTAGAGAAATCAAGACAGTGGGGTCTGGGACAGGACAGCCCAGACGTCCTCCAGTTCTCTGCCTGGGGCACAGCCTAGGTGTCCCGAGCTTGCCTGCTAGATGTGCTGTGACCTGGCCCCTCACTGGCCAGAGCAGCAGATGGCTGCAGAGCAGCAAGACGGCTATTCCTCCTGGGGTGGGGACCCCCACCCCCCACTCCCGGGAGCCTGCGAAAGCAGGGCGGTGAGGAGGTAGACGAGCCTTCAGCAGCTCTTGAGTCTGCTGCTTCCTACCCTCGCTGACTTCCAGGGCAAGGGGGTCCAGGTAAGGGCTCAGCAGAAGGGTCTGCAGTGTACCCCAACGTACTAAGGTTCAGTGAGGCTGGGCACTGTCCCCCAATGAGGTCCTGGGCCTCCTGCTGCTTGTGCTTGCTCCCCTGGAGAACGGTGTACAACACTGCTGAGCGCCAAAGTGGAGTTTCAGTTTTGAGCAACCAAGACACTTGGGTCTTGACGGTGTGACGGCTGGCTGGGAAGAGGACACCCCCCCCTTGCTCAGGTGGACATGTATTTTCCCTGACAGCCCCGCCGCCAGGAGGCCTTACCTGTCCCCTTCCACCCACCTCCCTGAGGGCAAAGCTTCCTGCCACAAAGCACCCTGATCAGGCCACACAGTACAGAGTCAGGGTCTGTTGAAACATTTAAAATAGGGTTCATCACAACAGTCAGAACTGGCAGAAAGAAGGGAGAAGCGGGGAACATGGCGGCTGCCAGCCCCCTACCAGTCTCTGTGGCACTCAGCCTGGCGGTGCTTTAGCTTCTGCTTCTTGCTTCTTGACTCCAGTGGTGTGAGATGGTCCCAATCACACTGGGCGGTGGGGGGCAGGGAGCAGGCAGCAGGCGGGTGCAGCAGGGCCGGTCACTTCCTCCTCCCCTCCCCCACGGCCCCCCCAGCCGGCCCTCCCTCCTCCAGTCTCCGTGGCTCAGGACCAGGCTAAGGGCAGAGGTAGATGGGGAGACGTGGGGGCCACCTAGGGCACCGGGTGGCAGTGAGGGAGCGTGGGACCCTGAGGGGGGCATGCTGACTCCTTGCTGGAGAAAAGGCACCTAGGTAGGGAAGCTGGGCTTGGGGGCCTCCCAGGGGACCGTGGGCTGAGGTGGGGTAGACTGAAAGAAGCAGGAAGCAGGGTGGAGCAAACCCCCATCCTGTTTCCCAAACCCCCACCCACCAAGGGGGCGAGGGAGTCGAGGAGCAGGCAGGACCTGGCCCCGCAACCCCTGGCCTCCAGCCTCCGGAGCTCACAGCCTCGTCCCTCCCCACCCTGCCCTCCCTTCAGAGCCCAGGTCCAATTTCTTCCCCGCCCTTCCCTGCCTGGAACGGGAAGGGAGTGGGGTCAGGGGCATCAGGCTGTCTTGGTGCCGGGGTCCACCTCCTTGTGGGCCCAGAGCTCCTTGTGCTGCTTCCGGCCGAAACCCTCATCGTAGTTGCCTTTGCTCTTAAACAGCTGCTGAAAGTGGGGTTTGCAGTAAAATTCCCCGTGCAGCGCCGCATAGCTGCCCAGGCTGCAGAAGCAGAACAACTGTGGTCAGGTCAGGTCAGGTCAGGACTGGAAGGCCGGGGGCAGGGCAGGGCAGGCAGGGCAGGGACGCACCTCAGCTTGGTGTGACAGTGCTTGCAGCAGAAGCAAGAGCTGTGAAAGATGAGCTTGTCGGCCACCAGCCGCTCCATGGGGTACACAGTCTTCTGGCAGGCAGCACAGGTCTCCTTCACCTGGGCCCGGATGCTGAAGGACTGCGGGGGGCAGAGACTCAGCACCAGCCTCACCCGTGCCCCCCTTTCTTCCCCCAGATCCCCGGAGTCCTACCTTGGAGCGCTGAACAGTGCTGCTGCCACCACTGCCTTTGGCTTCCTGAGGAAGAGGGCCAGTCAGGGCAGGGGCAGCAGCAGGATGCCCTGGACCATCTCGGCAGGCACCTGCCCAGAGCCCAGGGGCACTTGCGGGGGGACAGGGGGGTGGGGGGGCACTGGGTGGCCGGTAAACGCACCCTCTGAACCCCTCCCTTGCCTGGCGGCCCTCCCTCCAGGCTGATCACCTACATGCGAGGGGGTGGCCTGGGCAGCTCCGGCAGCCTGGAACATGGCTCTGGGAGGTGATGGTGGCGCGGGGTGAAGACGCGGCACCCGTTAGGTTCTGCAAAGGGAAGTCGGTCGCTCGGGAGGGGCCCCCCAGCCTGCAGGGTGCGGGTGGGGTGTTTACAGGCAGGGGGCTGGAGGGGCTGTGGTTGGGACTTTCCCTAAGTCATTTCCTGTTGCTCTAGGTCTCGCCACTTCCGCCCCTCACCCACCTACCCCTTCCCCCGCCCGCCCCCCAGCTGCTCCCCAAGGGGCAGGGGTCCCTGAGTGGAACGAGGGGTCGCGGGAAGAACACAGCGGGCAGCGGCTGAGGGCCCGGGCTCCGCGCAGCCGCCCTGTGCACCCCGCGGACACGGCCCCGC